TCATCATAAAATAGTGGTTTGTTAGTTCCAAATGGTCCCGGTTATGACAAAAAATCAATTATTTCTTGTCACGTATAAAATTAAATAATATTTGAACGTTTACAAAAGTGGTTACTTTGTTCAAATGAATTTCTTCATTTTATAGCTTGATTATTATGTGACGTTCTTGAAATATTGCTTTACTGTTGTCTGTAAGCAAACTTAAGTTGAGTATTTTTCTCACAGAAGTGATTTATTTCATTTTTAGCTTAGTTCACATATGTGTTTTCATTCATATATTTCATTTTTATACTTTTGTCATTGTATGGCAGTTTATCAAAAAGTTATCACTCAGTCAGTATGAAAGTTAGTCATCTTTTGCCTTTCAGGATCCAGTTGTTGGATTGAGTGATTAAAAAAAGAGCAACATATATAGTCAGAGTGATATATGATTGGTAGTGAGATCAAATAACCTTGAACTGAATTATCATGATCAGTAGCCTTTTTTCTTCTATATTCTTAACTAATTTAAATGAAGGAAATAAAATATTGGCTAAAAGGTTTATTAGACTCGTGATAAAAAAAGTTCAGTTACAAATAGGCCTGTGTATAAGCGTATATTCTTGAGAATTGAACATAAGAATGTAACTTAATGAGAGATCAACATAGAGAGATTTAAGAAAAAGAAAATATTCCTAGATTATGATTTGACTATCGCCAACACAGCAAAATCTGGAGTGGTAGCGTGTAAAGTTTATTTATTAATCATTAAAACCTTATGAAATCAAAATATGACTGTTATAATGACGTCTGTATAGTATTGTGTAGACTATTCTATTTTATAATTTTTCCCCATAAATCATTATATAGATAAGTGAGCTTATGTTTACAGTCGTTCTACTATTTTTCTCTTATACTGGGTACTGTAGAAATACGTGTTTGTATTTATTTCATTAATTTCAACGTATCGTCAAATAAGTTTATATTTAATGATTGGTGGATTTGATGATGTTCAGTGCATTGGTTTGAACTTAACCAGTCGTTACTAAATATAGTCATATGTAGTAATGATAAGTGATACTAATCATCATACTAACTCACTGTTTTAGTGAATCATACTTATTTATTCATTTGTTTGTTTCTATGTTATCGTCAGTCCATTTAATAAGATGATTAACTATGGTTTGATTTTTACCTTTAATTTAAACATGCATATTTTTCTATCATATTTCAATGATTAATTTTTATTGTTTGAATACAATAACGTAAATTAACCCGGTGATTTACAAGTTAAATCTTAGACTATAAATTTCCGTGTTTTATTCTTATTCTCATTGTCTTAATGTTTTGCAAATTTTATGCGGGTAACATATACACATATTACTGAGTTAATTTCACTGAAATTAAAAATCAGACCCAACAACTCAACAATCTTCATACCCCCCTATACCGATGAAAAAAAAGAAAATTAGATCACAGGTTCAAATTCATTGCATTTAATTGTCATAAACAGTCATTAGCAAAGTTGCTAATCTTTTTTAAAAAACATTGATTATCTAGTTTTTAGGTTATTGCTTTTTTTCTCCCTTTCATAATCTTAAATAAGAAATATATTTATAGTTATTTATGATAGTCAGGTATGTCATTTTCTTGAGAAAATGTTTATTTCTTTATTGACGTGATTTTGTGTATCTTGATGGTTTTTTAAAAAAAAATCGTAAATCGATATCAACTTGAAAATCAATGTAAAGCATGGCGGGACTGTAGAGGTATTTGTTCCTGGTTTAGAACTCTTTAATAATAAGAATGAACCACTTACAAACGGATGACAACTGTGAATTTTAGGTCTCATTCGATATCTTCAAAATACTAAACCAAAATCTCACTGCTATGTCACCTGGCAATATAATGTTATCCTCAACTACTGTCATCAACAGCTTACAGTTACAATCTTACCATAGCTGACTGGAATTTCTGAATTCAATACCATACTTCTTTGTTAATGTACACTACTTAAGAAATGAAAACTGGAGTAGGAAAAGTGTCTTATTGTTCATCGGTTTCCTGTGATTCTTCCTGCTGGTATCAGTCCCTGTTGAAATTCATCGGTGTTTTTTCTTACTGGATTTTAAAATTAATCATTTTTCTTCATAAAAAGTAGGACATTTCTTAAATATCAATACGGTTATTTCATTGATATGCCAAAATTAACTTAATTTACCCTAATGTATAACAGCAAATGTATAGCTGTTTTTTTCTCTTGCTTGAAAACTATTTGAGATAAGAAAGTCTTTTGGAAAGCCCTTTTCTTCTAATTTTAAAATGTACAAAGTTAGAACTTATATTGATTCATTTCAACATTAACAGTCATAATTATTTGATTAATGTTATTTCTTTTTAATAGACTGTTTTTCTTTGTCACAACTCTTTTTTCTTTATATTTAAGGCAACATTTCCAGGTCGAAAATTTCTTTACTTGTTTTTTTCAGTGTTGTATTGATTAAAATGATATTTTTCTTTCACGTAGTTATTGTTAGTGTTATCGACTCCCACTGTAATATTATTTCATGGATTTTGATTGATTAAAGTGTTAGTTTTCATGGTTCTGTCCTACTGGACTGTAACCAAAATCACTAAAATTCCATTATGATATCTGTTACAAAATGATAGTATATTATGAATGTTTTATGTGTTTTAGCCACCTAGTAATCCATTGAATGGTTCCGTTATTGATATTCTAGAAGGAGTTCTGATCAGTCTTTGTTGGTAGACGTTCATCTTGTGCGAATTTCCTAGATAAACCTATTTTATCACAATTTCTTTCCTTAGAGCAAATGTATTATGAGTTGTAGTGGAATTCAGGATAGGGATTTCGTCCCATTTGAAACTCGTCAGCTAAATGTGCCTGGATCCTGATGTTGACGTTTACATTGAGAAAATCCTCGTTCGGTTTTTATATGCTAACAAAGATAGATCAGAATTCAGTGTTGAGCATATTCAGCAAGATAATCTAAACATCGTACCCACTGAACAAGTTTACTGGTTATCTGGTATCTGTAAGTCAGTGTATAACGCTAGCGTTTAAAGAGAAAGATACTATTCTGAGAAAATAACTAACTGTCATACTTTTTCAGTTATAAATTAACAATCTCCTTCAAAGTTTTCAAATATTTTCTATTTGAGTGGCAAACAACCTGAATCTATACAACTTATTCTCTTCATGAATTTGAGTAAGCGGAGAACGGCATTTAAAACAGGGCATTATAAACTCTTATTATATTAGGTATTTTTTTCAACTACTTGCAAATCTTATTCGTACTGGAGGTTAATGTGACGTTCAGCTCATTTATCCTTTAATTTGCATGAAGTTTGTAACTAGCTGACGAGAATCTTGCACATACATGTGTTTTTACTGTTAGTTTCTGAACAGATTATTTTTACTTTAGGAATTTGTATTATTTATTTGAAATAATATTTTACCAAAGAATTGTCTTATACATGTGTGACAAGAAATTCCATACTTTCCCTATTTCAAATTGATGAGAAGCTATAACGAGTGGATAAGCTTATGAGGGAGGGGGTAGAATGGAAACAAAACAAATTCTGTCGTTTAAAGGTACACATATTACCAGAAAAACACTTTCTTTTTTGTGTGTTGATCTTTTTAATTTTGTCCATTTAAATTTATAATGATAAAATATTACTACCTACGTTGAAGTTTTTACTTTAGATCACTAAAATCATACAGGAATATTTTTAATAGTATTTCTTAACTTCAACTTTTAAAAAGATTATAATAATCACAACCAAGTCATCTGTTTCATTTCACCAATAAATACCGTGTAATTGATAAAATACTATAAAAAGTAGCTGTTTTCTTCTCCTTCACTAAATAGTTGTTTTGAGAATAATAAAAGTGTACAAATAACTTATAAATTAGACTATTTTAAAATAGTTTTGATTGACAGGGACTGAATTTTTTTTTACAAAGAAAGGTTTACTTTTTGTCAGCAATTTGTAATTTATTCTAATCTTCCCATGACTGAGGATTTTGTTCTGCTTCGACCATTAATATCTTCACTCACATATAGGAAATCATACACTTTCAATCATCTTAGTTTCTCTATTCAACAGAAGCACCAAGTTATTTATTTTCATATGATTTACTGTTTACGAAAGTCAATTGTTCAAACCTACCCTCTGAGTCGATTTATAGTTTCTTGTGTCATTCAACTGACATATTCGATTTGAATAAGATTTATCGTTCTGTCGTTACATTAATCTTCTTAAATATCATTACCGTATAATATTGAACAATATAACTCATTCATCTATCCGACTCGTAGTTAATTTGATTGTATTAGGGACAGTGATACTACTCAAATTCCGAAACCGAAGGAGGTATGCAATTGTTTCAACCGTTTACTTATTGATTTAGAGCTGAGTACTTTAATCACTAAGATACCTCCCCGTGGGGGACATCGACTCCCTCAGGATTGCTAATAACATTTTTAACGACAGGTACCAATTAGTTCCAAACCTAGATTTGAAGTTCTTCACTGATTATTTACACCTACGTAACACCAAACATATACCACAGCTATATCAATTAATCACATTACAATTCGATTGACTAGATTTGATCAGCATTACAGTCTAGGCAATATAATATTTCGTCTCTGTTAAGTGGTTAATTAAGATGCCTCCAAGTTACTTTTAACTTACAGTATAAGGTTCATTATAATGGATAAGGAATTTTTACCAGAGCTTTTTTCCGTACAGGGTGTTTTCTAAGTCATTTTTTTCTGTATTTAAACTTTGTTCAACGATGAAAGCAAAGTAATTTAACCATTTCTATTATGAACTAGATATAACACAGTCTATTAGTTCAAATGTGTTTTTTTATCAGAATAGCTGACTAATAAGACGATGTATTCATTGGTTATTCCATTATGTTGATCATTACCCATTTAATTATAATCTTAATAGTATTTTTTCCCCTAAATTATCATAATTTCTAGTCAGGTCATCAACCAATGGTTCGACTATGGAATGTATCAGATCATTGTCAGTTAGCTGAACTCGGTGGTCATCATTTTCGTGTCGTAGCTGTACGTTTCAGCCCGAACGATCAATATTTAGTTAGCGTTGGCAGTCAAGAAGATCATACACTGTATGTATGGGATAGACAGAGTGGACAACGAGTAGCCAGCGCAAAAGTTACAAGTCGGGTAAATAATGAATTTTGTTCCTGACATGTTTTTTTACTATCGATTGTTATTTTATAGCCTTTTGAAACTTTGTGTAAGACAAAGGTAGTGTATAATTAAAAAAAGTGTCTTTTCATTTTTTCATACACATGGTTTTGTCCATTTTGCGACCAGTAAACACAACTGCGGTCTCATGGGCTAAGGTGGTCACCATTTTTGAATTTACAATCAATCGTAATCCTGTGTATCTTTTTTCCATATCAAAATCTCAATAGTAGGTGTTCAAATAAACCAACATGTATTCTTTAATGTTTTTGCTAGTTGAACAGTAAATAAATCAGTTGTTGATAAGTCTGCTAAGCGAACACTCGACGCGATTTCGTAGCCTTCTCTAATTACCTCAGGCTAAATCTACACGGTAAATTGAACACAAGAGAAAAGACGCAAAGCACAAAAAAGTACGCTTTATTCCAAGGTTAGTTTTTGTACAAAAAAAACGAGGGTATTTATAGAGTTACGTATAACCTTTGGCTTCTGGAGATTTCTGTGACCACACTAAATGTAGTAACGGTATGGGCAAATATCCTTTTAGAAACGTGGCACATGACTCTTCAGTTTCTAGGTGTTTCTGAGTAGCTTCTATTTAACCGTTATTGGGTAAAGTGTTTCCAAGCGTTTTCTGAATCCCCCTGAACTTTCCCAACAAATACTGTGGAAATCCCCAGCAGTTATTAATAGTGAGATTTCCTAAGAATTAATTCCTGGTTTCGGAAGGTTGTCAGTTTGAGTTCAGTCCATGAACAATAAAGTCCAAAAATAGCATCATGTGATTCTCAATTGTTCTGTCACTCATCAATCCGCGATCGAATCCTCATGTCGGTGCGAAAACTGAATTATATGTGATTGGTAGTTGACATCAAAAGAAACTTCCATATTGTCAAACATAAACCAGAAGCTGTTTGCATTACAGATGCGATAGAATTTTTTATATCTTGAGATGTTACACCCAATTATTGATGAAGTTTACGGTTCATTTATTTCATAAAACAGTACCTATTCTTCATTTTAAGCAAAACTAATCGGTTCTAAATGCCATTGTTGGGATGATCCAGCAAATTTCTCGCAAAAGACACACAAGGATCAGGAAACATTAAGAAGCATTTCATCCAATCAGCGTTCACTTGGAGTTTAGCCAGAAACATCAAGGATGTGAAACGTCACATGTAGAGGTTCTGATTGGCTGGTTGTTGTACTGCTACTATGTTTAGTAGCATTCCAGAATCTTTGAGCGACCCAAGGACATTTAGAATATTGTAAAAACCCTATATTTTCTGTATTGAAATGAACGTTGGAGTAAAGTACTTTTCGCATACTTTGCTCCTTCTCTCTCGTGCTCAGGTCGCTGTATAGTTCTAGGTTGGGGGTTACAAGAATAGCTTAGGAACCGAGTATAGCGTTCAAATTGCAAGACTTATCAGCCATACTCCACATTAGCGCAGTGAAAGAGATTTAATAATAGTAAAATCGAACAGATGGACATACAAATATTAATAGTGACATGGATTGGAAATTGAAGGATGAAAATACAAGGTAAACAAATAGGATTGACGAATCAAAATAATAAATTAGCACATTATGTTCAAAACTTGGCAAAAGGTAACGAATAAATGCATCTTCAAAACGTTGTCTACTTTTAAGCTGCATCACGTGAAGTTACCAACTATTAATTGTAGTTATATATGACCAACCGTTTTTATGACTTAAAATAACTGTACATTCATGGTTTTTTGATAAATGTCTAGTTTTTATCTAATAATAATTTTTCCATTCTTTCCGGCTATATGATATTCGGCAATTCATTGCTTAGACATCTAGATTATTGAGATGATGGGAGAGTAATTGTTGCTGAGGTTGAGGATATTAGCGTTGTGTTACCTGAGTTGGATGGTTTATTCGAGAATTTCATTTTATCCTTCTAGACGACAACACTATAAGATCTATCTCTATACAACAAAATGCATGAATAGAGATGGATGCTACGTTATATGACCACAGTGTGAAATGTAGAAATATAGGGTTGTGGCGATTGTCGAATTTTGCTTAAATCATGAACCAATCAGTGTTAGATCACCATTGAAAACCCGAAAGCACTAAAGGGCCGTCTCGTTTTAGTGTGTAATATCCCAACTCACGAATCGGACCCACGACTTTCTGTCTCACATGTGAACCCTTTACATTTAAACCACTGAATCAGGATCCAACAGTTTTAATCTATAACTTCCATTAATTCACGATATTGTGCAGTCATCTACCATTATCTTTGGTGGATAACTACTTCACACCCAACACGATTGAACCCCATCGGTTGCGACTTCTCACTAGAACTCTGGGGCCCTCAGATGCCCTGGTACGGCCGAGAGTGGGGAGAGTCCACTCTCCCTCTCGAAATACTCTCACATGGCCATGCACATATAGCCTCTGCCAGGGAAGTCCTACTCACTGCCTTCTCATAGCGGGGGTGTTGTTTACGAAATTGAGAGGACGAAAAGCGAATGTCCGGCTCTTTAACCGGGTTGATGAACATGGAGAGTCCACCTAGGGGAGTTGGAAAACCCTGATCCCAAACCAGTGGAGCACATGGGCTCCAGCATCCTGAAGGGATAAATGGAGTATGGACCTATTGTTGGTCACCGGCCATCATGGGACTGCATCTCCTTAAGTTGCTCCACTGCCTTGTGGATTAGACCTTTAGGTCGAAGGCTCCGAGTGTGGTCCCCTAAGAAAACCACCTGCTTCTGTTTGGGCACCCGGGCAGTACCATAGATCATACACAACTCAAGTGATTTGTGTGGCGCATATGTATTTGTACTAATATCTATGTGCTCAAATAAATAATAAAGAACTCTGGAAGGTTTCTTTCTCGTCCGTTGCATCCTAGTATAAGTCCTTATACTACTCAACTCTTTGAAATTACATCAAAATTATCATTCTTTTCATGAACATATGATCTATACGATATGTTTTTCTATGTATATTTTTGTGATACAATTTTTAAGAATAAATAGTTGATAGGCTTATTTTGTATTTTTTTCAAAGATTAGTTTGTACATGTATAACACACTAGACATAAAACCTAGAAAAAAAACTGTTGCTTTTTTTAAACTAATGGTTTTACATTTCACATTGTGGTTGTACCATACGACATACTTATCTGTTTGTTTGTTTGTTTGTATAGATCTGTCTCTTTTTTATTTCATTAGTTCAACCGAAACATCTCACCACTAATCAATAATATTATTACTGATTGATGATAACATCATTAGCGTACCGATCCTATTTTCATAAACCTGAGAATGTGCGCGTACTATTAAGTTTGAATTCTCTGTGTTCAACCAAATGGTTGTATGTGTCTTTTGAGCTTGTTCCGAGACTAACTGAAACAAATCATATAACACCTACCATCTTATACTGGAACTAGTCTCTACACTTTCAAGAAATCAATCATTTCAATTAAAATTATTACATACATCTGATTTATTTTGACAATACTCATTGATAAGGGTTTCGTCGTTGTCTTCACTCATTATTTATGCATTGATGCATACTCATTCGCGGATATGTCCCTGAGTAGTTTTACTTTCGTATCAAGTTAGCATTGGGCATATTTCGTATTTCTTTTGCAAAGTAAAAAATCAGTTAGATTGAAAGAAAAACTACTTTTAAGAAATAAATGTTTTTGTTATTTTAAACCTTGACTTTTCTGTTCGCTACAATATATAGTTAGTTTCTTATTGTTATGCTTATGATTGTCTTGTATCTCGGCCGAATTATTTTTCGGAAAATGCAATCCAAATAGATCACATCTCTTGAAATTAATTGTAATCAATTCCCGTGAGACTTCTTAAATTGAATTGATATGATTATTGTTTCCTTTAATATATATAATAACAGTGAGGCCCCCATCATTTTACACTGCTACAACCATGAGAAAGGACATACTAGCGAAAATTCTATGCATGCTAAATGTTCAACTTTTTTCCATAAATATTCTAGTCTGTTCAAATGTTACTAATTTCTTTTACAATGTGATGTTTTTTAGACTGAGTATTAAATAATAAAAAAATAGTGTCATTAGTATATTTTGTAATGAGAATGACTTTGGTTATCAGTACAAAAGTGTATGATAATACCATGGGTGTTTTAAAAACTAGTTCAAACTGATGATTTGTTTTAACTTGATGTATATCGGAAACAGTTTAGAGTAGTGTGAAACTCTCGTAATATAAGACCATTGCACCATTTAGTGATGTATGCTACTTATGTCGACATAATTGGTATATAACACCAGTCAGAAGTGGAAGGCCTGGCAGCAGAAGGTTGCGAAGATCGAACCGAAAAGAATGGGAACAGAGAGGAATTACCATAACAAAGAAGGAACGTTGAAGCCTGAGATAATTGATGAAGAATTCGCAAATGAAGTATTAGATGTATGATTTTCACAGTTTACCAATGAACTCTAATTTTGTATTAAAAAGTAGATTGGTTGTCCCCCACCTGAGTTTTCGTTCACAACAATCCGTGTGTATATACTCCGGGTTCATGAACAAATAAATGTCATATGAACCCACCTTCAGTTTTCAACTATTCTATTATGATGAGAAAGTATGGTTTATGGTCCACGTTTTCCAACCTCGGTCACGATTAGTTAGTCAATTAGTTACCATGTATCGTATTTTGTATAATTTGTTAATGTTGTATCTTCTAGACTATGAAGCACTTGGTTATTTTACGTTAACTGATGACTAACATATGTGTACTATTTTTCTTATCACATACTGATATCTGTTTACTGTTTTTTGTAGTGTTCCATATATTCAACATTTGCTCTTTCAATACATCTATATTAAAATGTGAATGTGTGACTTTCTTTTTAAAGAAAATTAGTGATTCACATTACTAGCAACACATTTTCCCATCTACTATGTTTAATAGCATTGCTCACAAATAAATTGATTTCGGAT